TGGTAGAGAAATATCTTATTTTTAGCTTTGATTTTCTATGTCTCTTTCTGTTTCTTTAGTTTGAACGGCATCACTTGATTTGCACAACGCAAAGCTAAGGAGAAAAGGAGAAGAAAAGCGGTGAAAAGGAGGAGCAGCTGACAGTGGTTGAGGGAACGAGGTGACGAAGTAACGATTGTTGCCGGAAGGATGGATAAAGGAGACATTTTTCTAACAAATATTTATCAGAAAAGATTGTGAAAGCATATGCCTAATTGACAGTAATTTAGTCAGTTATACGGGTAGATGTTTCTACTGGATGAAATGGTTTTGTAAAGGATATTGCTTTACTGATGTTAGTGATGGAGTTGTTTCTATTCACTGGTGCTTGGTAGTGACAATATCGATGCTACTAGTGATGCTGTTGGTTGTCGGTGACGCTGTTAGTAATGATGATGACGGTGGCGGCTGTTTAATGCGCTTGATGGTTAGTTTGGTTGTTTTGAAAACTGTGTAGTTTGTTGCATTTTTGCGTTTGGCCTTTCTTTCGTAAAGCCATCGATTTATGACTATATGCTATGTGATTTGGTGGTACATTTAATGTTACTGTTATGTTTTATTTTTGTTTATTCATATATTACTAATTGTTTCTGGCCATAACCATTCATTACTTTCGCAGAATTCCATTACAATCTGTTTCTCAAGCTTTGTCTGTTTCTTTTTAACGTTTTTTACTTGAACCAAATGCTAAAAGTTGAACTGTACCGGTTGTGTGGGTCGATTTGCCGAGCTGTTTGTTGTTTTTGCTGTTGCTGTTGCTGTTGCTGTTACTGTTACTGTTGCTACTACCTTTCAAGTCTTCAAACGCCTGACTACTTTTACTGCCATCGTCAGCGTCATTACATTATTACCTGCATCACCGTCGACAGCAGTAGCAAAGGAAACAGCGATAGCGTGAACCCAAATACATCTGTGTTGATAACAGTGACGGCACTGAGTCTGTGTTGGTGGTGATGAAATAACTGGTAGTAATGGCGACTGTTTTTTTTAGCTGGTGGTGATGGTGGTAGCGGGATAGTTATTCGGTCTGCCCAAACTTAGTCATTGTTAAGCTAGTGCGGACGAAGAGCGTTTTACGCAGCTGAAGGTCGTACCTGTTGGTACTAAAATGTGACCGATTAAGCTTCTGATTAATGTTTGTGCTATACAGCAGTCACGAGGAACAGCTACCATACATTATCAAAGTATTTCAAAAGAAAAAAAAAAAACTTTAAAGAAACTTATTTGTCGGGATTTTTGTGTTTCGTTTTATTTATCTACTCTTTTTTTGGGCTCAGTAATAGATTTTTACTGCATTGTCTTATAATACCATATATCTATCTTAAACAGTATCATTAAATTCTTTTGTCTAAGTAATTTGATGAGGTAATGAAGATGAGTATTGTAAGCTGTTCACAGTGAACTTGGCCTGGGTTCTGATGATGATATCAGAAGTAACTGTTGTCATTGTTAGATGTTAAATTGATTTAAAATAATTATGGTTTTTTTCAATCAGAGGAGATGTTTTCTTTTACTTTTTTTGGTCAAATTATCTTTTTTTTTTTTTTTGCAACCGTTTTTTCTAATTTTCAAATATACATTTTAAGGCCTCATATGTCGACGTAAATTAAGGGAGAAAGAAGAAGTTGGGAGGGGGTAGATAGGACGAAACAGAACTTTACAGCACGCTTTTTGCATTCATTTTTTGTTTGTTCTCTCCTTTTTTCATACTTTTGTTTTAAAAAAAAATGTTGCTTTACCGATTGATCAAAATAATAGCTGGCATTTTGAGGTAGAGGAGTCTGTGAACTCTTGAATATTCATTTTATCTTCCGTTCTTTTGTTCCTTGTTCAAGTTTTAAAAAAAAAGAATAGGAATTGAGAAGAAAAATAAGGAGAGAAAGAGAAAGGAGGTAAAAAAAGAAGAAAAAGGGGGAGGAGGGAACACTGCTTTTATCGTTATCAAGAGACTGTATGGTTTAATTGTCATCCGATAAGTTGTTGTCGTACGAGGCACACGGTTGTAAAACCGTTTTTTTTTTTTTTGGCATCGATCAACAGTCAACTGAGTTACTGGTACTGTGCAACAGATCACGTAGCAGTTTGAGCTTCCAACTTTGGAGCATCATTTTAAGTCGCGGCGTACGCAGTGGCAATTGCGAGATAGGCTGCGGCAGCGGCAACGGCAATCAATTAGCTACAGCTTTGGTTGCCGCTTTGCCGTTTTCTGATTGTTAGTTCGCCGGTTGGCTCATTCTCATTGCTTATTTGTCTGCAATAGGCGAATAGGTGAATGAGGTGATGTGATGGGACGAAACAAATTAGCTGGCTGCTGCTTATTGGCTGCTATTGCTTGTGCTTGTTGGTCGAGTATGTATTTGCTTTAATTCAGCATGGTAGCAGCAATAACGGCAATAACAACAACCACAGCAACAGCCGAGAACGAGAGCGAGAGCAAACAGCCGAGCGCATAAATCAGCAACAATTGACGATGTCGGTACTGTATCGGTGGCGTGCAAACAGCAGCTTAGTTGTCATCAATTTTAGCCAATTTATTAAGCCGCATTCATATATTCACTTTCAGTGTTGACTATTTTTTCACTGATATTTTTCTATATATCTATTCTATTTAATACTTCATATTTTACAGTTATTTTGTTTTTGCTATTTCTAACGCTTCTGTGGGTGCTGCTGCTTCGACATCAGTTTAATTGGATGAACGAATTGGTTTTTTGAATAATTTTAAGGAAACTTTTTGGTGACGGCAAGAAATTGAGAAAAGAAACAATTCAGTCTGTTTATTGATTGATTAAAAGTAAAGAACGAAAGAAACACTTATTACCTTCTTTTTGCCTTGTTAAAGAAGCATTATTCGAAATAAATTATGGCTGGAAAGGAGAAGTGAAAGTGTGTTTTTTATTTCATTTTCTTTTTCATTTATTTATTTATTTATGTATACTTTTCTGCAATTTTTTTGTCGTGCAGTTGGGAGTCGGTTTTAAACGGAAGAAGAATTCAACAAGAAGGAAAACAAAAGTGAAAAAAAAAACAGCATCAGCATTTCGTACTAAATGTGAAGCAAGACTGTGGAAGAACGGTTAAAATATGTCTTCCGCGACTAAATGGTAACTTTTTGAAGTTGTTCTCTCCCTCGTCGCAAGGAAACGTTTTGCTGTTTCACTGTAACCTGAGCAAAGCTGACAAGAAGAAAAGGAAAGGAGAAGAAGAAAATAAAGATGTAAATTACTCGGTTTCTTATTAATTTACTTTTAGCATTGTCAAGTTTTATGTTGGACAACCAACAGTAGTCGCAGTATCAGTACCAGTAAAAGCGGCTGAGGAAGTGGGACAGAGGAATTTTGGTGGATAAATAGGTATATCAACTTCAAAACAACAGTCCTTCCTTTTACCCTATGCTGTTGTTAATTAATTGTTGAAAATGTCTATCATTATATTTTCAATTTTTTTCACTTATTTTCTTTTATTAACAATCTGAAAAATAAAGCTACATTTTGCGTAGGTGTGTGTTTGTGTAATGATGTTTATTAATCATTTCGCATAAATTAAAGCAATTTTTTTAAAATTAATATTACCTTACAGGAATGAATACTTTTAATTTTCATTTAACGTATCAGTTAAATTGTTTTCAAATTAACAGTCGTTACTGTATTTACAGGGTATAGGAAGAAAAATGGGGGAGGGTGAGAAATGGCAGCAGTGAGGGGATTTAGTACAATAGCAGTTAGAAGTAAATGGACGATAAGTCGATTGCCTTCTCTTCAATGAATATCAACCTCTATTTGTTAGCACTAATAATATTTTTTCTTTTAAAGCTTATTATCGAGATTTATTACAAAGAATTTTTTTTTGTGTTAAAGGTAAAAAAATAAAGGGTAAGGGAAATAAGTTTTGGAAACTGTGACCAAATTAGCACATAATTATGGCAAAACAAGACATCAGAGAAAATTTTTTCAAGAGTTATTTTAAAGCGCTTTTTTGCACTGTTTTATTTCGAGAACTGATTGGCGTCGGGATTTGTTGGCAGCCCCTTTTTCTTGTACTTCTTTCTGCACAAGCAATCATAGCGGGTTGTTTACTGAATGGCAGTATGTTTTAAAATAGGTAAAGGTAGAAAGAAAGAGTTAAGAAAAAAATTTTTCATCTTCTTTTTATGGTTAAGGGGAAAATCTTTATTGTTTTTTTGTTCAATTTTTAGT